CTTCTTGATGCAAAGAGACTGAGAAGATCCACAATAACATGCAAGAGCTGGAGTTGGAGATAGAAAATCTCAAAGGTAACGCCAATGTAAGGAGGCACATAGTGGGGAGTGATGGAGATGCAATGGTTAAGATGGCCAAGGCTCAGATAGACCTCGAAGCTAGAGAAACGGCTCTGCAAGACAAAACGATGACTCTGGCTCAAAAAGAACGTGTGACCAACGACGAGTATCAAGATGCTCGTAAAGAGATGATCCAGGTACTAAACAAAAAAACATAATGAATCTGTCTCTTCTAAACTCTTTCGCTTGTCCTTTTGATTATAATATTACTTTGAAGACCAGTTGTGGAATATGAATGAAGATTTGATGAGTGGAGATAAGATTAGAGTGAAAAGAATGGGGCAATTAAACCCCGAGCCGTTTATAGCAGCAGTGAAGATGAAACATGGAGGTCAAAATCAAGAGCAGAGAATAAGACTATCAAGTTGAAGAACCGTGAACATGAAGTTTATAATGAAGTGGTAAGAGCAAAACTAGAGATAGAGGGTCATAACGGAGTGGTAGCCATGTGATTTTAGAGCTTTGGAACTATGAACAAAACCGAAAGGCGACTGTGATGCTGAGCAAACTAGAGATAGAGGATCATAACGGAGGTGATTGATGTGATGTTAAAGATATAAGGTCGTATCTTGATGCTACGAGGAACAAACGAAAGAATGTTTGAGATCAACTTAAAAGATTAACCAAAAAAAAAAAAAAAGAATTTGAAGTGGCAATGGTCAGATAACTGTTGAAGAGTTTTTGCCTTCCACTTTCTTACTCATCCCAATTACTAGTGGTACCGTTATACTTGTTTACTTATCTTGTTCAGGTTTAACGCATGAGAATTGAAGCCATTAAAAAACTACTAAAACAGAAAGGAAAGATACTGTACAAGGTGTAGCACAGAGGCAAGGTTTTAAAAGACAGAAACTGTAGCTTCTTTCTTTGGTTTTAGTTGCACTGATCCGAATTAGAGTTTTGCTTGTTCCCTAAGTTAACAGATGATGATAATACACTCACAGTGACAAGGTGAAGGTCTGTCCTTTTTCCTCTTTCAGCCTCCCTACCCAACAACTTAAATTACCGATTAAGCTATATAACCGGGTTATCAGCTTTATAGCCATGGCTACCTGACCAGTAAACAAAACCATGATCCCGATAGAACAAAGACATCCCTAGTAAGAGTTTTGCCAGAGCTGCTGCTGCTGCTGGGTTTGCTTTGAGGGTTGGCCTTGGGAGCCACCCTCCCTTGGGTTTTGCTGTTGGTGCTCCATTGACATTCCGCTTTGTGGCTGATAGTAGTTTGGGTAACCGAGCGACCCATACTGCTGTTGCGCCTGTTGCTGAGCTTGGCGTACCTGCTGAGCTTGTTGTGCTTGGAGGTTGTAGTACGTGTTGCTTGGGACACCCGACATGGTTTGAGAGCCAGGTCCATGTAGCCATACAGGCAAGTTTTCGTTCTGTGATAAAGCAATCTAGCGTTTAATGTCAAAACAAAGATCTTTCCTTGCAAGTGTCAATATGAGAAAACAATTAC